ACAAATCACCATTGCCTCTTTTGCCTGACCTCATACACCTCAGAACTGTACTAATTTGTATGCCTCTAGGAACTTTAACATACCATATTGGCCCTGTCCCTCTAAAGTGTCTTACTGCTACTAGTTCTCCATCTTTATCTTTCTCCTAAGGTAGAAACGATATATGACACTGTAAAATAAGTTGATTTTAGATTTGTGGTTTTAATATAAGACAAGGTTGTATAATATTTTCTAGTTTGGATTTGTTTTGGTGATACTACCAGAATTCATACAGAACACTAATCTTATACTCTTTCAATCTGGTAAGTTGTTATATTATTTTGATATAATATAGTAAGACAGAATATAATTGATAGTTTGTAAATTGTAGATTTTTTGATAGAAGTAAACTGATTTTGATCTTTTGTAAATTGTAAAATAAATGAAAACTAATAGCTAGCCAAAAGATTGAAATTGTAACCTGACACTAGTTATTATTAGCAGAAAATAAAAACTTCTGAAAAAAATAAAATATTGTCTTTTGACATATATATATATTTGAAAAAAAATATTGATTTAATGTTTTAAGTATATTTTGTATAGAAATATATAAAAATGTTTCTCTTTATTTAAAGGTTGCTTATATAGGTTTCATTTAGTAAAGCAAAAGATTTTATTGAAGAGATTTTTGCTATTCCCAAAGCATTCATACTCTAGGGAAAGTTAAATAATTTCCTGTATTTTGCAATAAGCTAAGATAAACTTCTTTCCTAAAAAGATATTCTTGCTAACTGTTTATTATTTATTATTTATGTCATTACCAAAAAAAATTTTTTTTTACAAATTGAAGCATTGTAAGAAAGAGTTTTTTTTTTCTTGAGTTTATAATTTTTTATTATATCTAAAATATATAATATATACATATAATATTTAATATATAACACATGATATATGTTATCCAATTCCAAAAGTATTTGATATTATAATAGTATGAGTTTACAAATACCAATAATTTTATTTTGTTTCACTTTTAATTTCTTTAATTATTAATATAGAAATGTAAATATATTAGAATAATTAGGATAAAGTACTAGTTTATTATTTTATTATTTTACTTTATATTACATGTATATGATTTTCAAAGAACCAATAAAATTATATGTATTATTTTAAATTTGTATTTTTACTTTATTTATTCTTATCATAAAAACATATATATAAGAAAGGTTTTTTTTTTTAGGAAATAACAAAGCTGTTTTTTATATTTAATAAAGTTTTTTTTATTAATTATAAATAATGCTTTGTTTATAACTTCTTTAACATAAAATATTACATGTAATAATATGGAATGTTATAAAAATATTACAAGAGATTCTAATTATATTTATAATTTAAGAATTGTATATTAATTAAAATTTGATAAATATTTTATATTTAATTTTTTAAAATTTTAAAATAACAAGTTAATATATAAATAATTAATATATGATAAACTTATTTTATTATTATTTTTTTTTGTAAATAAATATTATTTCTTTATTTGATTTGTATATAACAAAATGTATATTGTAAAAGAAATAACATTTCTCATATATTGATACAATAAGTTAAATATTAACTTGCTTACAATAACCATATAGCTAATATTGAAAAGAAAGTTTAAAACAATATATTCTGCCATAATATATTAAGTAACTATAAATATTTATTTAATATTAGAAGAAATAGTATTTGATAGAAACAATATTGGATTTTAAATACATTTGAAATAAATATAATTATATAAAATAAAAGAATTAGTGACTATTGTAAGTAAGTCAATAATAATTTTATTTTAAGTAGTATTGGGATATAATGTTTTTGTAAAAGTAATCTAACTTTTTTCTGGTTTAATAAGTTGATAATATTGAATAATTTACTTGGGTTTTACTTAATACTATAAGAATAAGATATTGGTTATGCTATTATATAATTTTCAAATTAAGTAATATAGTTAAACTAAAGATTTTATTAATATCTTAATCTAATTGATGAGATATATTGTAAAGAAAATAAAATAAACTTATTTAATATTTTAAAAATATATTTACATATAATAAGAAGTTAATAATTATCAATTTTTATTTTTGAAAAAACAATTATTTATCTATTATAATATAATCATATAATATAAAAAAATATTTTAATATATATTATTTTGAAAAAGATTAAGAAATATATATGTTTTTAACAATATATTATACAGTATTATATTATTAGATTAAAAATAAATAAAATATATGTTATTGAAATATCTATTATTATATCACAATTGTTAATAATATAATATCAAAACAATATTTAAAATATAATATAAAATAAATAAATATATTAGAAATATATATATTAAATGTTCAATAAAAATTTTTTAACTACTATTTATTATTAATTTTAATTATATGACTTATATCTTGTTTATTATATATTTATAAATAAGTATAGTATATAGAAATTTATTTAATTTACAATTATTTCAATTAAACTTATTAAAAATATTTAAATTATTTATAATTAGATTTCATGTTTCTATTGTTTTAAATTTTCACTACTATTTAAAATTAATTGCTAAAAGTTTTATTGGAATAAGCAGCAATAAGAAATGGCTTCTTATTAAATTGAAATAGAATTTCTATATAGTTTTTTATTAAAAAAAACATTAGATATTATAAAAAATAATTATTAAATTAGTTTGTTTAAAAACTGAATATTTTTTTATTTTACAACTTTATTATAATTATTGTAACATTAAATTAAATAATATTATACATCTTTTTTGAATATTACAATTATAATATTTATTGAATTAGTATGTAAAATTGCTTTTTACAAAAAACAACACATATTTGATCATAATATCAGATATCATATTAAGCAGTTCAATTGTTATCACCTAAAATCAAGCAATTCAATTGCTTTTATTTGGAATTAAACTTTATTAAACATGATATCTTGAGATCTAAACCTGGTAGTACTGACCACTGTACTATGGATTCACAAGTTTATTATTTGTTACTTTGTACATTTTTTTCTTTTTACATATTAAAAATAAAATCAAAAAATTTTCAAAATTTCAAAATCCTAAAAAATTCTATAAATTCTATAGATTCTTTAAGCCCAATTTGATTCTAATAAAGTGATGACATCATATGCACTACATAACCTTTTCTATCTTTTTATACTATCAATGATACTTCACTAGATCATAAGTTTCTTTATTGTAACACATGGAATAATAATCCAAAAATAATAAATCTTGATGATATTCAAATGGAATCACTAAATACAGCACAGCAATAACTTTTGTTATAATAATTTTTGAATTCTCGTGACTTTAAATTTTAAAAAATGGTGACTACTAAGCGATATCATAAATTGCCAAATAAATAACTTTTCGTTTTTTTTTTGACCACATTATTTGGTCACACGACAGGGACTTGAGACAGTTTAGCCCAAACAAACTCAAAAACCGACATCACCCGAGTCTTTTAACATCCCTAATCCATTAATTACGAATTAAATTAAAAAATGCCATAAATACTATATTAATCGACACCAACAATTGAATGTAGATACAGTAATATACAGTACAGTATACGAATCGTTGGATGAAAGGCTGATCCAGTCATACATAATAAAAATACGGATTTAACGTAGCATTAATTGGTAGCGATACAGGTAAAACGATTTTTGATTATCGATATATTGATTTTCTATTTTTCTAATTTTTTTTTTATAAAAAATTTTAGTTAAATGGTTTGCTTGTTCTGAACCTTCATTCACTTTTCAGAATTGGATTGTTTCTAGCTCTTGAGATTATTCGCAAAACGTAACGTCAATTTTTCGAGTCAAAATCACAAGTCCCTTGTTTCAAATTCAAATTCAATCTTTCAATGGATCAATCGTTTAAAATAAACATCTTACAATGTCTTTTTTTTGCTCTGCATAAAAAATACAAAATTCACGGTCAATGAGATATGGGTTACACACGTGATATTTATACATGCATTTGTCATTGTAGAAAATTTTTTAGAATATGCGTAAAGAATAAATTCATTTGCCCAGTTTTATATTACAGTTACATCTAAATTTATCCATACTCGAGTTCAAGAAAAAGGATGGAATCTTAAAAAGGAGAAAATTAAATCGGTATACGTATCGGACTATTTTACAAAAAAAGAAAGGAAGAGAAATCCAATGAAATATTTTTCCGAGAAAAGTCGGATTGAGTAAGACATATTCATGAGGAATATGATCAAAAATGAAAAGCACGTGTGTGTTCAAGTAATCAATAAACAGGAAGTGAGTACAAAAAATGAATAAATAAAAGAAACAAATATGTTACAATAAATTTAGCAAATAACTGACATCTGTAAAGTTGAAAGTTATGATAAGTTATAATGTATTGTTAATAATGTTCTCTACCAACATCTTCGAATTTTTTAAATTTCCTTCAGACGTTGTTGGATTTTTTGCTTTTGGGCCCCGCTTTTTTATCTTATTGGAAAATTCACATTTCAGGTTACGTTTCCGACACCGATCACACTTCTTTATTTCAGCTTTATCTTGAATTATATTTCCATCTGAACAACATCTAGTTTTCGATCTTCGACAGTTTTCACACGCCTTTTTGGCATATGGCTGTCGACTTCCGCGAGATTTCAGGACAATATGTTTTTGTAAAGCAAAGTTTTGTGAATTCAGGTAGGCTAGTTTATTAATCATGATGAGCAAGCTTTCTAAAATGAATCTGAATGGCATATTAAATTGAATTTTGACTTTATATACTTGAATAATTTACAACATCTCAAATACAGTTCATTTCGGTTCATTTAGGTTATCGTGAAAGGTCATAGGCTGTAAAATTTGTGCACAGTCACTTGTCTATTGCTTGTCGTACAATATGGATCATTTTGTACATACCGTATCGGAATATGTTTTTTTTTATTTATTAATTTTTGGACAAATTAACCCCACTATTTTGTCACAATGAGCGCTTTCAAAGATTCCTTTTTTAATATTAAATTAATAAGAATATGTAAACATACTAGTCGAAAAAGGAATAATTGTTTTCGAGCTTCTAACCTTCCCCCTAAATTCGAAAGGGTTTCTCGAATCATTTTTGTAGTCTGACCTCACACGAGAATAAAAAAATTACTTAATATCTGACTTCAGAAATGTTTTATCTGTATAAAAATGATTCACATTGAGTGATTGAAGTGACAATAAACCATTTTCTTTTCATATTTAATAGGGGCAAAATTGGTATTAATAACTTTCATGAATGAATGTTGCATGCTTGTGCGCAAAATCGGCATAGTTGCCCATATGCTCCATATAATAATTCCGATGGTCAAAAATCCAATCAAGAACAAGGTGATGTACAGTGTAAAGCGTTTATTATATTAACATGTTTGATTTTTTTCTCGTTATTATGCGAATCAAGATAGTAGTGATACTTAGGACAGCAGTTAATAGGATAGAAATTCATTTGCTGTACATACTGTATAACGATAGTAAACTTCAAGCATAGTTTTCGGAAAGATATGATACAATAGTGTTTTGTTAACAAATTAATTGATTGATTAATAGATAACTTAAGAGTATGCAAAAATCGGCGATTTGCTTTTCTATCATCAAGAATCGGATTAGCATTAAAGAACGAAAGATTGAAGCGGAAGACATCGGGACTGTCCCAATTCAAAGTACAATATAGATTGGCGCATATGAGCAATTCGGTACCTTTCAAGAAACGTTAAAATGTCTTCAAGAAAAAATCACGCGATACAAATTTTCGAATTAGATATTCCTGAAACATGACGCCGACAAACTCTTCCGAATATTTTTCCGATCTTTTACTTTATAATTAACTGGTGGACATAATATTCCATGATTATTATGTTTATAATTATTAAGATCCGAATGTTTGATAAGCCGCATTTGTCATGTTGTTTTATCGTAATGCCTATAAACAATCACTTTTGCAGTCTTCAAATGTAAACCCATTAGTCGGATGTATATTTACATGTGAATATTTCCATTATAATATTTACAAATCAAATACATAGTACCATATTTGTTGATTAAAGTTTCAAAAACTTGAACTTGAAATTGTTTACATTCAAGATTATTTACATTAAATGAAATGTCACTAGTAATGTATTATTAGAGTCTAAAAGGAAAGAAAAAAAAGAATTTTGTAAATGAAACCCTTCACGTTATCCATAAACTCTTCCTAAACAGTTACAGTATATTTTAATCAAACCGCAGGACTGTATTACTGTAGAGCACACAGCATATACTGTAACATACAATATACGTAATTCCATAATTGTAGCATATGGATATCCTAAATTAGTTAATTGAATGGCGGAAAAAACGCATTTCCGTTTCTGTACGACGTTCTTATACATATTTATGAGATGAACAAATTCTGGGGTCAAAGTGACCAATCGCTGTCATGTTATTGACAATAATAAACGTAAATGAGAAACCTCATATTGGACAGGTCCATTCTTTGATTGAACGAAAAGAAAAAAATATCCCAATATGGGAAATTTAAATAAGTTTAACTTTGAAATTCCGAGAAGAATTGCTAAATTGTTTTATACAAAAAATTTCATCGACCGGTCAAGTTGAGATTTTTGCAAATTTATCGTGTCTCTTTCTCCTGCCCCGTCAATTTAACTTTAAACAAAAGAATCGATTTATTGTTAAATATGTGCCTTGGTTGTTTTAATAATCTTTAAAAAAAAAATTTTTTTTTTAATTTATTGCAAATTCGTAAATACAAGAATTTTATTTACTAAAGGCCGAGTCAGGTATATAAAATCAACATGTATAGTTTTATAATTCATGCATTAGCAAAAAATGCTTTGGAATGAAAAATTAAAATCACGAAATATTGCGGCAGGGAGCTTAATTATGAAAATTGCAAGTACTGACTTCTATTTTAAAGATTAATCAAGAGGGTGACTTCGATACTGTTTAATAACATGGGTTTGCCTTTTTTTTTTGGAATAGCAAGTAACATAAAAGGAATAGAATATCGTGATTTGTTATATTTACTTTATCTTAGCCGAAGATACAAAGTCTGATTAGTCTTAATTGAAAAAAAAAATCAGTATTAGAATATAATATAATGCAATCTCTTTGAAATCCACTCAGTAAAACAAACTGCAATTTCTTGGTTTTTAATTTTGCGCTATAAGTTGGGATAAACTTAAATTTGTAATATTAAGTTTTCAAATAATCTATCTATTTTTGCGGCTTTCTGGGTTTTCCCTCGCAAGCATTTCGCAAATGAGATTTCTGAAAGTTTTAAACCTGTGTTTTTGTGAAGAGGGAAAATATTTTATCATAAAATAATAATATTATTATCATTGCCTTTTTTTTCGATGATTTTACCACTGTAATCTGAATTAAGAATCTTTCTCTATAATAATATCATTACAAATTTCTTTGCGTTTCACATCGGTTGCTTTATTAAAAATAATTGAGTTAACGAAAGCGATAGAGCAATAGAATTGTAGGGTGAATATTGAATCTCGTCAAACAGAGTGAGTTTAATCTCATCCCGAATGTTATTAGTTAACTCTCTTCCTACAACTATTTTGGCAGAGGGCCCTGTCAATACTTCAGACTTTGTGAATGTGGTTTTTTTGGATATTAAAGTTAATACCTTTTCTGATGACCGGTAATATTAAGGATTATTAGTATTTTAATCGTTTCTTTATTAATTCATTTCTTATATATTGAATCACGAAAGTTATTCTTTTTAATGAAACATTGCGAGTTGAACTATTTGAGAGTCTGGTATGGCAATTGACGATACTGGGTTGTCTACATCTCTGGCGTCACTTCCTTATCATTCCGAGTTTGTTCGCTCACTGACAAGGAACCCAATTCCAATATCTCAAGCCTGGCTTCATGATCTGTATTATTTTTCTCTAGCCTCTCAACTCTAGAATCACGTATGGTAATCTTTCTACAGTCTGGTAATTTCAAGCTCGTTAGCTTTGATGAAAAACCGGAACAATTCCGAATTACTTGTTATTGATGTAGAATTCGACAATACAATAACTTACAAAGTAGAATGACATTTCTGAATACAGTAAATGCCAGCGGAAATTTTTTGTTCATTCAACACACAATAATTCATGATCTGGTATCTTTTGCCCCAATCATCGATATTCTTGATAAACATAAATGAGTTTAAAAGAAAATTATATCAAGTCACACAGAAAGTTTCACATTATTTACTAGAAACTGTACAGGAATAAAAAAAAAAAAGGGTCATTGATGCTGAATTACGCATTGCAGTACTTTTTAGTTCTCTGATATGACTGAAAATCCTTTCCTGTTATGCACAAACTCGGAAATAACCTTTCCGACATTTTTTCTGAGCATTTGTTAACAAATCTAGAAACCTAGAAATATTAGAACACAACACAGTACGAATGTACCGTATAAAAATATTATGTTACGATTGGTGGTATTAAACAATCTCCATTTCGAAAATCGTAAGCTATCATATTCAATCAACAATGACATTCTTCTTTAGTATACATCAGCAAATATTGTAGAATTGGCGTTGGTTAAAAGAAACTTTCATCGCTTAATATGTTGGAATATCTTGGATAAAGGGAAAAAATAATGTTATTATTATACTAAAATGTAATCACAACAACGGATTGAACGTCCGGGCTATTGATGCTAATCGGCAATCAATAATATATTCCAAGATCATTAAAAAATTATTGCAGGGAAATTACTTTATCACTACAGAATCGAACCGGTCATTTTTTAAGAAACTTAAGCTCTAGAAAAGTTCTTTCATTTATTCCCAATAATAATAAGTGACCCTAGTTAAGAAATTGTTATAAACTTATTTGATTGGTAACTCGTGATGAAAGATCGTCTCAGTAGTACTGTAATTTGGGGAGGACTTGTTGGAACAGATTAGCATATCTAGCCCGGACGTGTTTTAATGTTAAATCGCCTAAAACAAATTTGCTGTAATACTGATTGCAAATTTACATAAGCTCACATGAATTTATAAAATCGTTTAACTTTGTACCAAACTTATATATTTTCGTGGGTAAAAAGCAGGCGCAGTAACGTAACACGCCGTTGCGTCACGTAATTTGTTAGGGATCAACGGTGGGAAATTCTAGAATAAAGTAGAAATAGCGAATAAGGTAAACATGTAAACAATAGGCGCATGTATAAATACATGCGCCGTTCGATAGCATGCAAAAGAGAGTTAGTTTTAGAGTGTACTGGCATTTAACAATAAAGTAAAGTTGTAAATCAACTCTTGCTTTGTTTTCAAGTGCACTCGAAATACTTGTAACTCGTGTTACAGAACTAAGCGAGAGAACCGAGGTTTGACTAAGGGAATTAGTATAGTAAGGATTCTAGATTAGTCGATAGAGAGGTTAAAGTAAGACTGGTCAAATCGAAGACACGCCTCAAGAGTAAAAAGGGAACTTACCTTATTGTTAACTGAACATAATGACAAGCAGTGTAGGCTTGCAGGATAGCCCACGACACTACTTAAGCTATACAGTAACTACTGAAATCTTATAATGCAATGATTTTTCATTATATAATTTATTGAATCAGCCCTTAGTGCCATGATCAATTCTTGCACGATCTGGTCACGTGATAACCATTGTGATTGCATCACGATTTAACTTACTTTTAAACGTTTCTATTACACTGTTGTGCTTGATTTCGCTGGTTTTTGCAATAATATTATGGAAATCCAATATTCAGTATGAAGCATGTTACTTTTACCCAGGTTACAATATACGTATACAATGATTTTGATTATGATTTTGATCTATTAGTATTTAAATTATAAAAAAACATATTTATCAATTTTTATATTAAATAAAAACCGAATCAATTATTTTCTTTTTACTAAATTTTTTTTTAAAAAAATCAACAAGTCAATTTACAGTATATAACGTGTATAGTGTCTATATTGCAGTTATTTTAATTCCTGATTTTTCAAAGTTTAATTATATTTATTTTAAAAAATAACCTAATTAATCAGATACATTATTAAAAAATAGTTACTGTATGTAAAATTTTGTACTATTATTAAAGTCACGGTATATAATTTGTTACTTTTACTCAGAATTACTCAATTTCAACTACAGTTTTGCAGAATAATTTAATGTATCATTAATAAATATATTATTGTAGCATATTATACCATGCAATAACCTAAATATCAATGTATGGTATGCAGCATATACAATACGTATTCATTGCGATCATATGAAAGCCAATAAACGTGTTACCTTATTATTTCTTTACAAGTAAAAGTTCTATAGAAATTGTCTTATCAATAATCCAAAAATTATTTTTATTATATAGTCTATAATAAAATCGACCAGTTAATTGCCAAATTAGAATCGACGTCTTTCTTCCCGCTATTTCTTTCATCATGTGACAACATAAAAGGAAGTTGATTTGTTCCTCCTATAGATCGTGCTATAGAAATAAATAAAGAAGTTCCATTATACGATGCTGTGGTATACAATGCCCACGTACGTACTATAAAAATTACGAAAACTAATAAATGCACTACATTCTCACCAACTGCTTCACAAGAGAAACTTCAACATGCTTCGTGGAAATTGTCTTATTAACGACTTAAAAATTCTAATCAATAATCGGCTATACAGCGATTTAGAAATCAAATGTAAGGATGGGATTATCCTTTATGGTAATCGTGCGGTTCTTGCGGCTCGTTCTGAAGTGTTCAACAAAATGCTTTTTAGCAGAACAAGCGAAATCTCTGATAAACAAATATCATTTCAAAAAATTGAATCCGCAGCAATGAAGATCATTCTTGAGTATTTATACACGGGATCGATTCTTGATGGAAGCTTGTCGATAGATAATGCATTCGAAACTTTTAATGCCGCCGATTTTTTCCAATTGAAAAATCTCCAAGACATTATCTCGAACTTCTATAAACAAGCATGCAAGGGGGATGGGCAGGAAATGAAGGAAGATAAATCACCAGAATTGTTGTCAAAAGCAATTCAAGTAATGTCATCGTCTGATGATAATGGAATTATTGATTTCTTAGTAAAATCAGTTGCCAAAATTCCGTTGGACACCATTGGTTTCGATCGACTATCTCTTCAGGCCTTACGATGTTTGTTATCCAACACTAATGATAACGAGAAGGTTTTCGTGACTAGCGAATACTCTGTACTACGTTTTACAATTTTATTGTCTGCAAAAAATGTCTCACAAGCGGCCTTTTCTGCTTTAAAGATAAGATTACCTTTATGGAATAAAATTAATGATGGTTTCAACTTTAAAAACAATGACACATCTGGTCTCACGGACATTTGCACCTGTACTGCAAATAATATGGCACCTCTTATCGAATTTATCGATCTCCGACGCATTGAAGGAAAAATTCTCATAGATATTATCGAACCGTTAAATTTAATTCCGCATGAAAAGTTAATAGCAGCCTACCGTTATTATACTTACGATAAAGATCCTATGTCAGCCTTTCGTGGAAAACCGTTTATTAAAGAAGATATTAAATGGGATAGGAACAATTGCGGTCCAAGTTTATTCATTAGTCCTGACGGATACACGGCATCATGCTCTGGAAAATACCCAACGCCAAATTATTTAAAAACAAATTATGGAAATCATGTTAGAACAAATTCTCTAATGATCAATGGAATCCATGAACTTCACGTCAAAATTAAGAATATTAACTTTGTAAGAATTGGTGTTTGTGGAAAAGTGAACCAATCTGGTTTTGGTCATCGGCCTGGATTTTGCTTTGCCAATAATCAACCTGGTTTTGCATTTGCCAATGATCAACCTGATTTTGGATTTGCTAATAATCAACCTGGTTTTGGACTTGGTAATAATCAATCTGACTTGCGTAATTTCAGTTTTTGGTGGGTCTTTTTAAATGGAGCTACTCTTTTTTCTGGCTCAGACCACACTGTGCCTGCAAAACCTGTTTCTCTTATGAAATCTTTACAAAGGGGCGTAGATGAGCTTGTTTTACGTTTGAACATGGATAACAAAGAGTGCATATGTATTTTTAATGGAAGAGAAATCTCTACAGGTTGGATTAACCTCCCGCCAGAGTTATATTTTTTCGCGTCATTAGATCCATCTGGAACAATAACAATCATGAATAATTAATCGTTGTTAAAGCAATGTTCATAATGTAATTCTTTTTGAATGGACAGAGCTCATTTTTTGTTTCTAGCAATTTCGAGAATATTTAAAGTCATAACAACTCTTCCTTCCCTGGTCTATTAAAATAATCAACCCGATGATTTTATGTCTATAAAATATCGAATTGTCTCCTGAGATTCCTTAGCATCGTGCATCCACAAATTTTCTGAAGTTTCACCAGTATCATTCAGGTCACGAGTTTGATTTTGTCCATATTCGACGTCTGATTCCTTGGAAGGAACTGACTCATATTTGTTGATTCTCATGTTTTCCTCGATTCACAGAATCAAAATTTCTGCCACTCGAATTTTAGGGGAATTGATCATCTCACGCGTTATGTCTTGGCGGTGTTATTCCTATACCCCTTATTTTTTATTGTTCTAATCAATTTTTAGTAATTGTATATAGAATTTGTGTCCATTTGCTTAAAGCTATACTGTACAGTAAACTTTCTTTTCTGTTTATTAATACAAGTAGGCTTTTTTTCTTGATACCAATGTTTCATAGAGTGAATTAAGTCTTTTTTTTTCTTCAATGTTTTGTGTGCAATAGTGGCTAAACATGCTTGGTACATCGGGGTTACGCATCTTCGAGTAAGTTAAGTCTGAACTTTTATTTTAAAATATTTTTATCAATATTTTTTTCTTTTTTTCTAAAGGGAGGGTTTTTTTATAGGTTTCCTTAATATTTTTACCAAGCTATTTTATCACTTCTATAGTGCTTTAATTACCTTAATAAAAAGGTGAATATAGTAATACTAGATAAACTTTTTTTTTATTAAAAAAGAGAATGCAAGCAAAAATGAAAAGACTTGTAAATTTCAACTTTTTAGTTAAATACTTTGATCTTTACAAAACAAATTACTATTGCCTCCTTTGCTTGATCTCATAGATTTTTAAACTGTACTAATTTTGTATATCCTTAGGAACTTTAGTATGCTGCATTTGTCTTTTCAAATACAGTAAAGTGTCTCCCTGTTACTAGTTCTCTGTCCATATTTTTCTTTTGAAATAAAAATGACATGTGATAATAATAAAAAGTTTAGGATTAACTTTTTTTTAAAGTTATTGGTAAATATCACAATTAATTTGTCTAAGTTAATTTGTAGTTAATCCTTATTTGAAAAGATTGAAAAGATTAAGAAAAGTTTGAAATCTTTAATACTTTTTTAATTGCTGCTTTGAATTTTTTCAAAATTTATATTTTCTTTAAATGTTGTTTTTAATTTTATTCAAAAGTACTGTATTGTAATTGCTTTTTTAGGATTTTAATAGCTTATTAATATTATAATATCAACGTATATAATAAAAAGTTATATTAATAAATATATAAATTTTATATTATAATAATAATAATACATTGAATATATATTATTATTATTATTAAAAATTTTATATCAATATTATGATATTAATATTAATATTATTTTATTTATTCATATTAGTTATAATTCTGGCCTAATGATATGCATAATTTTGGTCAATTTCAGCATCATCCCCGACATTTATTAAACCACAGTTTAGGAAGTCTGAAAAAAAGAGACTATTTTTTGTCGAAGTAGAAACAACCATTATAACATTTACCGAAATCTCCCTTCTTCGATTGGATGGTGCAGGTGGAATTTGAATTTGCTTTGGTTCATCAAGTAATTTATCCTTAGACATCATTAAAATCTTGCCGAGAAATTGATTCCTAATAATATCTCTATTTAAATTTCTATCAATCTTAGCCTCAAAATCGTGAAACAAAAAATCGACTTTGCTTGACATCCATTTTTGACTGTTAAAATATTGCAATTACATGAATCGAGGCAGAATGCGAGAAATCGTGTGAAGGCCCTTTTTGAAATAAAAATTCTTTAATATACTCGTTGGTATTTTTGTTTTCATATTCGCATCCATAATACTTTTAAATGGTCTTCCTAATATGATTTTATTCGCTCGTTTTTTACCAATATGATTCACTCTACAGAGTTGATCAAGAGAAGCGGTATTGATGTTCACCTTAGGGATATTCTTGATTTTATCATGTTTGGACTCAGACATAGCAGATCTGTATGCTCTGCCAGCAAATGGCCCAAAATAGTCCCTAAAAACTTTTCCATCTACAATCCCAGACCTTTTCGGAAGTTTAATAATGCAGTTATCTGCAGTCGTAAAGAGGATGAAAAAATCATTTTCCGATGCTGATTTTTTATGTTCTTGTTCGAATACCTCTTGACTGATCGGTTTTTGGGTCAGTTTGTGTTGGAGAATTTCGTTTGGGCTCTCGGCACCCGGCTGATCTAATGAAAGGAAGGCATTACCATATGGCGAACCTGGAGCATTAATAATACAATGTTTGAATCGCCAGACATCAACGGTAGTATTACTGCAATCCACATTCCATTCACCTATAGTGAGATTTTTAGACTTTGTGTCTGTTTGGTGTCTGGCAATCTTAAGTTGTAGATTGTGGTTTTTAAATTGGATATCACCATTCAAACGCGCTCCCGCGTGAACCTTTGAGATCGTTGTTAGCTCATCTTCTTTGATCACGGCTGACTTTATACAACGAAATGACGCGACAAATTTTTCAAAACTCTGCCATGACTTAGCTTTCAATGATAACACAGGATTCAGAAATGCTTTTTGCTCTCCATAATCAGCGAATCCCCAATCTCGAAGTATTGGATCTCCTTGCTCATGAGATATCTCTACAAGTACCCAGAGCCAGATATACGGTGCAGTGAGGTATCCCATTGGACTATTTCATTTACGTGTTCAAATCGAACCAGTCCAGACCCAGCATATTAGTCTGGCGTTTTTTCGGTATTGGGAACAAGTTCGTGTAAATGTAAGAGAGTTCGGGTCAATATTGCTCGTGCAATGGGCCTGGCGTCTTTCACAAAACCAAAAATAGCATCACGATATTTCTTAGTAAGGTCCCTACGCAGATCGCTCATCAAATCATTAAGGTTACATTCCTCAATGTTGCGGCCGACCAAGCAATCCTTCAAAATTTCTAGAGCCCTTCCATGTCCTCCACAGTCTTCCACAAGAATAGTAGTAATCGGATCATTTTTAAAGACTGGAACCAAGCTATCTCCTTGACGATAGTTTGGAGGCTGTAGAGAAGTGACCGGTAAGTATACTCGTGTCCAATGCGAGGTTTTTAACGTACTCTCAATCAGGCCAGTGATTGTTGAAGTACAAACTGGTATCACGAAACTGTCACTAACTGTAAGGTCTCCAATAGCTGACAGAGTATGGTAAAACAGAGAATCTGAGTTAAGACCATCATCCTTATTGGACATAAGCTGTTGCATACTGTCAACGACCAAAATAACTGTAGTATCCTTCAGGTCTCGGTTATGATGTTTGGCAATCAATGACATGACACTCAATGGAAGTGGTAACTCATATGTGAGGCGAACACTTTCAAACCCCATTTTTTTCCTGAGAAGTTGCGATAGCATTCGAGTACCAACGCCCAGAAAAGAGTCTTCTCCCGGTCGTATGGGTGTGCCATTCTCATAGCTGACAAGAAATACCCAAGCTTCTTTGATCCTAGTCAACAATTCCATATCTTCTTGAGCTGATAAACATGCAATCAATGTCTGATGGAATTCACTAGCGTTTCGAGATTTTCCGGTACCAGCTCCAGAATGGAAGAGATAAATTGGAAGCGACATTTTGTCAAAACGCCCTAAAAGATAATTTTTATAATGTACTTTAAGCTCCCTTCGCAAAATATGCTTCAAAGAAGGGTGAGGTTGATATTCCTAATTCGCACCAGAAGTGCAGAGTAAAGGATCTGGATTCAAGTATGGCAATCCTAGCATATAAATAGTATATTCAGTCAGCCATAATATATGAATGGCGAGTTTCAGATAAGAATTATTTAATACATACCTTCTGGAAAGGCATCCGCGATTTTTACTCTCTTTTGTGCTACTGCATGCATTATTAAAATAGGACAGTCACTTAATTACTGGTTAAGATAATGAAAAGGTGTAACAAATATAACAACGGCTATTAAAAGTTAGGACCGCGTTCACTTGCGTCGACTAAATTTATTATGACTCACCCTCTACGATAACGCGAATGTGTTTTTTGGGCAGGTTTAACGATAAGAAGTAAGTATTCGGTATTATTGGTGAATATGACACGATTAAAAGAGAACATACCAGGCTTTAAGAGTTCTTTGAAATAAGAAACTATCTCTTCATTACCTTCACATGTAGGAAGGATGCGTTCCGCTGCAGCTCTTTTTTCTGGATTATTAGTGAAGAGGGTTCGTAGTGTAGTTCTTTCCTCTTTTGAATCAAGTATTTTGATTGTTTCATAGACGTTAGACATGGTTAAAAAATAGCACGAAATCGAATGTCGCACAGATCTGTTCTCATACAATTATATATGAAAAAAAGCTCATCGTGACTACATCGCACCTATATTGCACCTATATTGCATCCTAATTATAGATATATCAGAAAAATTGTATATGTATCTCGGATTTGCTAAATTGACAATTATTAATCCGATTTAGCATTACGTTCGAAACGTTTATTCTTAGCGAAATTCATCATCAACGGAAATTTTTTTTTTAATATTAGTGGAACTAACAAGACCAAAATAACCAATTAACGTATTTCTAGTCACTACTGGTTGCACGGATAACATGTTCTAAATTCTACTTACACATATTCAATGAATATTGAATAATGCTCTTTTAATTCCTTTTTATGTGGAGTAGTAGGAACACCCATTTTAACCTCAAAGTTTTTCTTATATTTTAAGAAATCGGCTTAGGGCATATTTTCACATTCTTCCAGTATTCGGAATTCGAAGGCGGTATAATCTCTCCATATATCTAATAATTTCTTTGGCATTTTGAATTTCTGTTGCAAAAGAAGAATAATAACATCTATATTCAATTCATTTTTGATGATCTTTAGTTTCCTCACTTACCTTAGGTGAAACCTTTTCAGGTGATGTACTTATCTCAGTTGTGATACATAATTTTGATAGTTTCCTTGGGAAACGGTTTTCGAGGTTACTAGATCTATAATATTTTGAATTTGTGTATTGCACTGCAGGTGACATATTTTACTTTATCGATTCCAACTCCATCTTCTCCAAATAGCTTACGAATTTTTCTGACCCTAAGAGTTTTAATTCGCAAAGCAACCGATGTAATACCTGTTAAATGTTCTAACATTTCTTTGTATATTTGGGCCCTTACGGTTTTATCATTAACTCCTGACTTATAATGAATTTCAATAACTTTATTATTAAAATTATCTGAATAGTGAATCCAGGATAAAATTCTTTATATCTAGATCATATGACTTTCTTAAATAAATGGATTAAATTTGCATTGTAATTTTAGAGGATTCAATAGATATTGGTTTTTTTCGTTATCCACAATGTCTTTGGAAGATATTTCTTTTTTTTTTTTTTGCGAGGCACTTCTCAAATTGTGATCTTTATTAATTGTTGATTCAATTTTTACAGAGAAAAG